AAGTGGACCATCGAACGCAAATTGACTAATGAGCAATGCATTCCAATGACCTAAAGAACAGTATTGCAAAATCATCCTAGGTGAAAGCTGCATACCTCACCTTAAGCCACTACTTCTAGACCTAAAAATTCCGCTTGAACGACAAAGAAAACCCATAACTGCAACAAAGCACTCTGGGGAAATTAAAAGGGAACTTTCTGTCCAAAGAAGCTTTGGTAAGTTAACCGGCTCTACCGGTTTGAAAAAACAGAACAGTGATGATCAACCTTAAAGCGTAACGTAAGGGTGACAAGAAAATTGCTGAATCGACGAAGTTAGGAAGAAGAAGAATCGATAAAGAAACTCAGTGGTGGAAGATGAGGCCCAAACGACGTCAAAAAGAGTTAAAAATACAAGCAATGGCATAAGTCGAAATCGTAAAGTGATAGACAGTTTTACCTAAAAATATCATCAGGACATCAGCAGGACCAGCACCTTTACACTTGTACTAGACCGCACTGGGAGGCAATTCAATCGCTCCTGGTCGTGCTTCAAGTACTCTTTCGAAGATCTTCGGAATGCGGCTCATCAGCCGGATTGGCCGACGTGTTAAACAGTCTGCGATATCGCCTTCATTCTTCCATATCGAGGTCCTTGTGCTCTTTGACCAGTCATGGGGCATGCTCTTAGCTTTTATGACCTGATTGAAGAAGCCTGAAGCCAAGAGGCACCGGGCCATCCGCGATCTCATAATTTCAATTGGTATCATGTCGACGCCTTGCCGTTCTTTGCCTTTTTTATAGCGAGCCATACGCTTTCTACGCTGTTATGAGTGGCGCTGGTCCTTTCAGGGTCAGCTGGTGAGATGGCTGTGTCAGTGCTGGTAATGGATGACATTTCTTCAAAGTATGTTCAGAGTCAGTTCAAAGTATATATGGAAGAGGGAGGTCAAACCTTAAAAACCTATACATCGGTAATGAGCCAATTAAGAACCCTAGTAATTTCAAGCGCCTAGGAATTGGCATCTCTAGCGATGGAGGATAAGATGAGTTATTGGCCAGGACAGCAACCTGGATAAAGGAGGACCTTCACAGGAGTTCTATGTGGCAAGCGAATGCCATTGCACCTTCCCCAATACATCGCACTGTTATCCGTCCAACAGCGCTCTATGGCAGTGAATGATGGCCAAGCACACGAAATGAAGAACAAAGCTAAGCATTATGGAGACAAGAATGCTGCGGTGGACATTGGGTATCACCTTGCTGGATCATGTCTGTAATGACACAGTTCGCGCTAGATGAAAGTTGCTCCCATCACCAAGAAGGGCGGGAAAAACAACTGCGATGTACGGGCATGTGAGAAGAGATGAGATCCATATCAAAAGAGTGGCAATGTCTCCGGAGGTATGTAGGGTAGCATGTAGAAAGCTGGAAAAAGACCGCTGCAAGACAAAGATGAGGTGGATGGACAGAATCAGAGCTGACTTAAAAGAGCTTGGGATAGATGAACATCATGCCTTGAATCGAGAATATTGGAGACAGCTGACCCGCACAACAGACCCTGCTTACGCGGAAAAATGCGAAGATACAGAAAAAAGTAATTGTGAAGCAGATCTTGAGGTTAGCAACCCCGTAAACGTCCCACAAAGCTACTGCCCAATGTGCTCCAACAATAGTATGATATGCAGTTAAAGACTCAACGTTTGTCAAGCAGTTTGTTAACAGATAGTATGCCTAAATAAGATACTACTATGACTTTCACCGATTTTGATGTCATCGCGGGTTTTCTGATCTTGCCCGAGACAGTCAATAATTTCTAATATATATATATATATATATATATATATATATATA